CGTGGGCTTTCGTTTAAAAGTAGCGGAGAAGAGCTGCAGCCGGGGGGCGAGGTGCTGCCCTTCCCCGCAGGTCTCACCAGGCCCTCGTCTCCCCTGTTTTCCAGGATGCGTTACGTCGCCGCATACCTGCTGGCCGTGCTCGGCGGCAACGACTCTCCCACGTCAAAGGACTTGAAGAAGATCCTGGACAGCGTTGGCATCGAGACAGACGATGAACGCATGAACAAGGTGGCGTTGCCTCTTGGTTCCCCATGGTCGTGTCCCAGTCCCCATCGGGCGCTGGAGCCGTTTCCTTGGCTTCAGTGTTTCTGAGTTGCCCTGCTGTTGATCTGGGCTTTCTTTGATCATTACAGTGTCATTTCTAAAGCTTCACCCATCAGAACTGTTTTTACCATGTTTTTGTAGAAGCCTGGTTTTCTTATTTAACACTTGGCCTTCACAGAGATCTCTGTCAGTTGTCATTGACTTCTGACAGTTCATTCTAACCATTTTCAATGGGATGGTGCCCACAGATAAGTGTGTATTGAATGTAAGTTCTGTTCTAACATAGAGTTTGCACTTTAGTGTTTCATTGTGGCTTTTGGTCAGTATTGATCAGTCAGAAGCTCATGCTTCTGAAGGCCTGATATTTGTTAGTAAATTCTTAGTGTACTGTAAAGAAGCATTTGTCCATCACCAAGGACAGGCACATTACAACATGGACATTAATGGTATTGAATAATAATCACAGAATCACAGACTGGTTTGGTTTGGAAGGAACCTTAAAGCTCATCCAGTTCCAACCCCCCTGCTGTGAACAGGGTCACCAACCACGGGATCAGGCTGCCCAACCTGGCCTTGAATGCCTCCAGAGATGGGGCATCCAGTAATACATAGGAAGATTTTGGAAGTCCATGCTGAAATAGTTGTGTTGAAAACCAGGCATTTTAAGAAATGCATATCTTAATTGGAATGTTTCTTATGATTTAATAGACTTTTAGCTTTGTAGACTGAAAAATAAATGACTGTGGGGGAAAAAAAGAACCAAAAACATGGTGTAATCACATGGCCAACACTCGTATGCAGAGTGTTTCCAGAGAGGTGGAGGGAAAACAAGTTCCTTTCCCAGCTGGAGACAGTGTTTTACCCCAGGCCCAACCCAACGATGAGTTGACTGGGCTGGCACCATCCTTGTTCTGGTTTGGGATGTTGGTTTGAACTCATGGTGCTCCTGCTTAACCACCAAGTCTTTGGGCTTTGGCTGATTTACGTTTGTTTAATAACTTCCTAAACTAGTTGTTTTCTCTGATCCTCCAATATCCAGAAAGCTTCTCTGGAATTTGTTTTGGTCATGATTAATTAATCCTTTTCTGTTTGCATTGGCTGTTACCTTGTGCCAGTGTAAGTAAAGTGAAGCCTTAAAACCACCTTCCTTCTGGCTGGAGCAGGCAGACAGGCACAGCACTTCACGGATGGCACACTCGGGAGGTGCCTGCTGCAGAGCTCTTGGTTAAAGTCCCTTGGCTCTGGGGACTCTGCAGCATTCAGCACAGACTCACCAGTAAACTCTGTGTGACTTCTTTTTTTTTTTAAGTTCTTGCTTGTTTTAGCAATTTGGGGGTTTTTCATTTTGCTTTCCTCATCCCTGGGTTATACAACAATGGTAGTAAAATGGCAGCTGGGACTCTGTGTTCCAGTGCAGGGATACAGCAGCCAGCGTGGCTGTAACATTTGGTAAGGCTGGGAACAGGACCATGTGGTTTTTGCTCCAGGGCCCAGTGCTTCAGAGCATCCCAGTGGGTATTGAGCAAGATATGTTAACAGTCCCTCAGTGACTAACAGACCCTTAGTGGGGTTTCCTAATTGGCTCCACAACATCTGTGTGTCCTTTCTGCAAGGTCTTTGGATCCATTATGAATTTATTGTGATAGATTTCATGAAAAAGCTTTCACAGAAAAGTATGAAAGGCTTAGCTGAAGTTTTCATTTTGCTGTCCTCTTCCTTCTACTGGGAAATGAGGACTGTTGGGGCTGTGTAAGCAGCAGGATGAAGACATTGCACATGATGATTAATCAGTACTTGTTTAAATGTAGCTTAAACCCATGCTGGTTTGTAACTATTAACATTCTAAACTTCATTCACCCAGGTTATTAGCGAGCTGAATGGAAAAAACATCGAGGATGTCATTGCTCAGGGTGAGTACAGTCTCTGTCACAGATAATTTCCTCTACTACTTTGGTAACTGAGGCCCGAGAGTGTGGAATTGCTGCCAGCTCCCTGGTTATCCATCAGTTTAGCTTTGTGGTTGAGGATTTCCATGCTGCGTCTCAGCTGAGGTGACTGAAATCCAGGTCCATTCTAATTCCCTGCAGATTGGTGCCAGTACCTGCTGGGTTTCGCTTGTGGACCACATTAAACTGGAAAACTTAAGCATGTGTGAGCTTACTGGTAGTCTGCTCATGATGTAGTTTTCTAGACATGTTGATTCGAGAAAGAATTATCTGTCCTTTCAGTTCTCTGGAAGATTTTTTTCTTTCTTTCTTTTAATTTACCTGTTTGTTTGCATCAGGTAAGTAAAACAGGAAGAACAGAGTGTTAAATGTAAATAAGTGTCAGTTCACATCCAGGGTGCACCCACTGCAATTAACCCAAAGCTCTCCAGGACACATCTCTTCTAGAGCACCCCAGGCCTGGCCTTTCCTTTGCTCTAGGAGTGCTGGCATCTGTGGAAGCTTGTGCTCTTACCTGCTGGCTCTTACCAAAGCTGGAACTTTATTAACCCAGTTAATGGACTGGGTCAGAGGGCTGAAAGGAAGCAGAGCTGAGGTAGTGCAAAGGTTTCTGATTCATTTCAAGCTTGTAGGCACAAGGGAACTTTTAGGCCTGTATTTGCTTAAAGGTTGCCAGGATTTTGCCTGGCCTTGCTGTTAGGAGCGCTAACAACGTTGATGTCCGTGTGGTCTGAGGACCTGGGAGTGCCCTTACGCGCGTGCTTACAACACACTTGCGCGATCTCCTTCTGTAACGCTTTTTCTTTAAATAAATAATTTCCTAGAACATACTGACATGTGTATGAAACATGTTTGTTTACTTGGTTAGTTTATTAGAGCTCAAAGTAACAGGGAATTATTTAGAAACTGATTCTCAGAAATTGGAATACAGGCAAACATACTGTGTACGTGACCTCTGAATGCCAAGGGAGCCTTGGTATGTGAAAGGCAGATGCCAGAGAAGTTGCTGACTTTCCAAAGATCAGCATAAACCAGAAGTCAGTTTGCTGCTCTCAAAGGAGATGCAATAGGGTTTGTAGGGTGCTGGAGAATTTGTTTAAAATACTGTACTCTTTGCCATAATGTATCTTTCCTCTCACCCCCTTTTCTCCTCGAAGTGTGATCCAGTCATGCCCTCACAGTTCTCTATACCATTAAAAAAAAGGGGGGGGGGGAAGACAGTGCTCCATATATATTATTTTTGAGATATATTGAAATTATCAATTTCTGGGCTATTATGCTGTGTTCAGAAAACATACAGTTCTTCTGTGTGTGTAAAACTGGATGTGTTTGCCACTATTTTCATATAATCCCAGACTGGTTTGGGTTGGAAGGGACCTTAAAGCTCATCCAGTCCCAACCCCCCTGCCAGCAGCAGGGACACCTTCCACTAGACCAGGTTGCTCAAAGCCTCATCCAGCCTGGCCTTCAACACTTCCAGGGAGGAGCAGCCACAGCTTCTCTGCCCAACCTGGGACAGTGTCAGGTTTTCTTAATGACAGTTTGGGGAAAAAAAAATACGGGACTGTGTACAGAAGAAAACTTACTAATAATAACTTACTAATAATGTGCTGGTGGTGTTCTCAGGATGAGCCTTTGTGAATCTTAAACACTCTTGAGTTTTTTTCACATAATAGTTTAAACTTCCTTACCATGGCTGCAGCCTCTTGCTCCTTTCATCTAATAGTGACAGGTTCAGCCCATGAGACATGGTACCTGTTTCTTCTGCACTCTCATTTCACTTCACCTTAGTTCTGTGGTTGTCATCAGCATTTAATTGCTTGTGATTCTGTCCCTCAGGCAATGGGAAGCTTGCCAGCATGCCTGCTGGGGGAGCTGTGGCCGTCTCTGCTGGAGGGGGCTCTGCTGCTCCTGCTGCAGCCGCTGCCCCTGCTGCCGGTGAGTGTGGGTGGAAAGGCCTTGTTATGGGGCAGCTCTGGTTTTCTCTATTAAATTCTTAACAGTTGAGTCCAGATTTCAAAGCTTTTTCCCTTTGGCAGTTCCCTATGTGACTAAAGTGTAAACTGAACAGTTAAATTTTCCTCTGGGCCCTTGGGAGCATTTTTCCACCTCAAGACTTGTCTGGCTTAGAACTGAGAATCAGACAGAATCAGACGTGCTTCAGTAGCAGTGTCTCTGTCCCCTCTGTGTTTATATTTGGCTCTTGATGAACCATGGAGGTTAAAATACCAATAACAGGGAAGCTGAGAACACCAAAACCCATATCTTGAAAAATCTGTGGTGCAAAAAATGTAAATACTGACCACTGGCTTGGTCTTTTTTTTCCTTCAGCTGAGGAGAAGAAAGAAGAGAAGAAGGAGGAATCTGAAGAATCTGACGATGACATGGGATTCGGCCTCTTTGATTAATTATTTGTTATAGAGAAATTATTAAAATTCTTTGTTTTAAATAGTTTTTGAGTTTATTATTACAACCATAGAAACTATTGGATTCAGACAGCTGTTCTTAAAATAGCTCTGCCAAAGCTTTTGTTTTTATGTCTGAAACGGGTACGTGGATTTTATGACAAGCCATGGGACTCAACTCTAATCTTAAAGTACTTAGGAAATAGCTAAGCTTGTGTGAGCCTGGATGCTTGTTTTAATGCTCCTGTTTCTTAAACAGTACATGGAAGCTGAACCTACATGATACTCACTTAAGTTCACCTTCTCCCAGTTACTCAGGAAAGAGTCCCATCCATTCAGCAATAAAATAACTTTGTTTTTCAGGATCTGTTTAATCAATTCCAAACCATGTGAAACTCAGTGGGCAGCGGGTCTGAATTAGTCCAGAAGCATTGCAGAGCTAGTGATAGGAATTAGTTTTTGTAAATATCTAAAAGTCCTGATTTCATTCTTGTGCTGGATTTCCAAGATCTAGACACAACACCAATAAAACGCTTGACTGTGCTTGGATTTCTGTTACATCCGTATGCTTAATATAAAATCTGTAACAGGAGACAATAGCACATCCTGCTCTTCATGGGACACTGAGATCAGTGCTCTTCATACTGAATGGCTGAACTATCAGGACATGAATCACCTTGATCTGAACAAAAAGAAACGATTTTATGAGGAGAAGGGTATTTTTTGGAGAACTGAAACTGATCTCTGGTGTGCACCAGCTTGGGAGGACAGTAAATTTTGCTTTTATAAAGTGTCTTCTGCTAGGAAATGGTTCTGACAGGCAACTTACCCTGACTTCATAGAACCATAGAATGGTTTGGGTTGGAAGGGACCTTAAAAATCATCCAGTCCCAACCCCCCTGCCAGCAGCAGGGACACCTTCCACTAGACCAGGTTGTTCAAAGCCTCATCCAGCCTGGCCTTCAACACTTCCAGGGAGGAGCAGCCACAGCTTCTCTGGCCAACCTGGGACACTGTCTCACCACCCTCACAGTGAAGAACTTCTTCCTAATATCTCATCTAAACCTCCCCTCTTTCAGCTTAAAGCCATTTCCCCTTGTTTTGTCATTAACTGCCCTTATAAAAGTCCCTCCCCAGCCTTCCTGGAGCCCCTTCAGGTACTGGGAGGCCACTAGAAGGTCTCCCTGGAGCCTTCTCTTCTCCAGGCTGAACAGCCCCAACTCTCTCAGCCTGTCCTCACAGCAGAGCTGCTCCAGCCCTCGCATCATCCTCGTGGCCTCCTCTGGACTTGTTCTAGCTGCTCCATGTCACTTCAGTGGGCTTTGGCTGTCACCATGAGTAGGTGGAGTACAAGTAGGGCGCGATGTGATGATCTTCCCATGCCAAGTCTCCACAGGTAGAGTCAAAAAGACATGTCCTGGAGCAGTCTATACATGAAGCTTTTCTTCTAACAGTTGTTTTGGGGAAAAAAAAAATAAGGCATTAGCTGGTAAAGCTGTGTTGGTTATGAGTCATTGGACAAAGCGTGGCAAGTACTTTAGAGAGGAGAGACGGGTGAAATCCAAGTAGGAAAAACTATTTTATCTCCCTGTGGTGTACTGAGAGAAAACGCCCTTTACTTCACAGCAGCCCAGGGAGCAGTTGAGTGTTAGATCCTCAGACCTCAAAATGGCCGTGATTTAAGCAACTAACCCTTGCTGCCCTTTTGTGCCTGCTGCAAGACAGAGTTACAGGAGGTAACAGTGCCAATACCTTTCATCTGCTTTGTCTCCAGCCCTAGCATGGTGATCTTCGTGGTAGTAATGAAAACCGCTTGGTTTTGCTCTAGTTCTCTGTCAGGCTCGGAATGGCAGCACTTTGGCACTGGCAGGGGTGCGGGAATATCTCTGTTTCCAGCTGATTTCTTCAGATCATTGAAAAAGAATGTTTCTTGGAAGTGGTTTTACTGAGAGGTACCCTCCCCACATCCTGCAGTATTGCCTTGTTTGGCTGCCACAAGAGCAAAGTCAGTGTTTTGCAGGAAGGAGCTGCCCTGTCACACCACTCAGCAGGGTTTTTCCATGCACAAAGGAATTGGTTGCAGTGGCACTAAACTATTCCATGAGTTTTGCTGTGCCCAGGCCTGTGGGATGAGACTGAAACCTGTGGTGCCAGCTGCTGGCTACTGTGATGAGACTACAACTACATCTGGATTAACTTTCTTCCCCCTATTTTTCTCTGTCTTCTCCTTATGACCTGTTAAACCTTGGGCTATGGACCTGATCCTGTGCTGGGTGTCCTCTTAGCACCTTTAAATCCCTTTGTGAAAGTGCATCATGTTGATGAAAATTGTTGCCCAATCTGCTTTGAGAAAGAGGACAACACATTTGGTAACCTGCTTAAGGAAATTTAGGGGCAGCTCTTGGAGAAAGCACTGAAAATCCAGTGGTTGTTACACTGCCACAGGGAGCCAATGTATTTTACATAACCACCCAGTAGAGGGTGGAGGTCAGGGGACAGGTCTGCTTCAAGTTTTCATGTATATTTTACAGAATTTGGTAAAACCTCTGCATGGTGAATATTTACAAATGCAAAATCAAAGCATCATTTTAAGCTTTCATTCCCTGTACCTATTTACAAAACGGCTGTCACGTGCTGGCTTTGTCCATGAGCAGTGATGTGCCTGGAAGTCTGTTGCAGCTTGTTTGGTGCTCTGGATGGGGTTCCTCGCTCTCCGTTCTGCTGATCTTGGTGAGCTTCAGCTCTGAAGGAGGTGGGATCACTGCTCCTGCTGTGAGGATGCTGTTCTGAATTTTCAAGTGTCACTGACACCTTTTCAGCCTTGGCAATGATTTCCAAAGGCAAAGGTAGCGGTGGTTTGGATGTGTTGTATTCTGTGATGCTCTCAGAAAAAACTAGTGCCTGCAAACACTTGGAGTGGTGGCCTAGACTGTCCCCTTACTGAATCAGTTTTAACTAGAAAAGATTTTCCTGACTTCTTCATAAAGAAAGGTTCAAGAGCATTGAAGGGAAAGGAAAGGGTAGCCTTGTGCCTGGAGATTACACTGGTAACTGATGATTACAAAATTGACCGTAGGGCAGAGGGGTTTGGTCATAGAGCTGACATTGAAACATGCAAGATTTCCTCACTGGGACATAAATTCTGTGCCATCTCAAATCAGCTCTGACTGAAAATCATTCCTTACAAACACCACGGGGCAGGGAGAGTGACCTGACATCTTCACTACTTGGAAAGCGGGGAGAACGTCCTGGACATAAGCAATGGCTCCCCCGGGGCCACTGTCAAATTAACTGCTTTCACTCTGACTCCTAAGGCCCAGTTTTGCAAGCTGCTGCGTTCAGGTAGCCTTTCTTAACTCATTGGGTTTGTCTTCCACAGGGCAGAGAGAGCTGTGGTAGCTTTCCTAGAAGAAAAATTCAGTCCCAAGAGAGCAGGACAAGGGGACGGCTCCATTGCCTCAGGAGATGCAAGTCCCAAGTGTTTGCCATGGAATTGTCTGACTCACACAAACATCACAGGTAAGGAAAAGACATCGAAGTCAGGCTTTCCAGCGATGTTGGGCTTCGTGACCAGTGCCCTAGTCTTGTTGACTACAGGCAACAATACTAAAGCAACATGCTGAAGACAGCAATAGACTGCCTCTCAGCTTCCCTTTAACGTCCATTGGCTGCCAACAACCAAGATCTCACCTGAAAAAAACAGAGGTTGTTTGCTTGCACGTTATTATCTCATCTGTACCAACTGCTCACCATTCATTAGACTAGAAACCAAATGCAACAGAGAGAGATTGCAGGAGGAGCTGTCTCAGTGGCATCGCAACGTGTAAGGACATGAGTGAACTTGCAGCGTTCTGAGAGGAGTTTGATACACACAAAAAGCTGCCATGTAAATCTTGCTGACCCGGCTTACAGCAGGATTATGAGCAATGGCAGGATCATGGCAGTACTTTCTTACTGAGGAGAAAAAGATTAGTTTAGGGGGATAATTTCTTTTTTGAGAAAAACATAGTTGTTTGCCAGCCTGCTAGTGCCAGTACCCTGGCAGATTACTGTTCACATGGTTTGTTTCATTAACCTGTTTCAACAAGGCAGCATTAACCTCCTCAAATAGGTAACCTTGAGGGCCAAGGCAGAGTGATGTAAACAACTCAGGTTGAGACTGTTGTTGAGAAATCAAGTGAAACTAAGCCCAGCATCATGGTAGCATTGCTATTTCTATTTTCCAGACAGAGCAGGAACCTTAAGGTTTGTGAAATGCTGAAAAAAAGAGGAAGCAACGCTGGCTTGAGAATGAAGCTGTTCTTGTGGTTACAAGTGCTAGGGAGGTATCTGCAAACAAGGTTCAGTACTCAGTTTTGCCAGGGATTTCTGCTGAAGTCACAGCCCATTGAGTAGCTCTCGGGCAGCGCAATCCCTGTTCTGGAAAATGCAAGACACAATGTTTTCTTTGGGTTTGGCTCCATGGACAGACCGAAGCATGGGGTGAAAGCACTAGGATTGTCTTGGTGTTAAGGGCCTTTAAGAGGGTCAAGGCTCAGGTGTGCCCACGCTCACCTCTTCAGGTGCAGGAGACGAGGGCTATGTAACCACATCAAACACAAGGGAGGAAGGAAATTACAAAAGCAAGTAGAGGTATTAGAGGAAGAGAAGGAAGGGTGGGTATAGGGCATACGCAGAGGACTTGAGATAAGTGGGGTTAGTTCTTTAGGTGCTCCAGGATGGAGCTAATACGTAACAGGAGTACTTCCCAGGAGGTGGTGGGCTCTAGGGTAGGAGTTGGAAGAAAGATAAGGCTGGACTCCTGCCTGTCTGATGGAAGGAAAGCACAAGAGTTTAATGGAAAAACACTCTATGTGGAGTACGAGGCCTAACTTGAGCTCAAATATTGGATTTATACCAGGGTTACCTGCTGAGTTTGCTTGCTTCCATCAGTTGTGAGGCAGCAAAGGGCCGTTCTTACCACCAGTGTGGGGAGGGTACCAGCCTCCCTTGTCTCCTTTGAGAGGACATTTGGCATGGAAGGAACAGGAGAGAGGCTACTTGAAT